ACACCACACACACACACACACACACACACACACACACACACACACAACACACACACACAAACACACGACACACACACACACACACACCCACCACACAACACACACACACACACACACACACACACACACACACACAACCAACACACACACACACCCCAAAACCCCCCCCCCCCCACACACACACACACACACACACACACACACACCCAACACAACACACACACACACACACACACAGTCGTGGTGCTGATGCAGCAGTTTGTAAAATAAAATGTTTGTCGTGTTTTTTCTGTCTTTAAAACTTTTCTCACATGGAAACCTGAAAAGCAGAAAACTGACTTTATAACTCAGCTTTTCCCCCAATCCATGTCATGAATGTTTTGAGTTGTTTTTATCACATCAAATAAAAACCCGGACAAAGTTTTCGAGTAAAAAAGGAGAAATATTTTGACGTACAACATCGCATTACAAGTAAAACAGCCCTCGGGTCACACCACACATCAACCACTACCACACACACACACCACACACACACCCACACACACACACACACACACACACCAACACACACAACCCACACACACACACCACACACACACACAACACACACACACACACACACACACACCATCCACACACACACACACACACACCCAGGCGACCATATGGCCTTCAGTCAATTTGTCCACCAACCAGCTCTGCTTGCAGATGAACACTTTAAATACCAACAAAGCAGCATAAGATTGTCAGAACTGTTTTTAAACATCTTTAAAAACATTTCACACCTTAAATCTAGAAAGATTCCTAAATATCTTCGTCTAGTTTTCATTTTCTGTAAAAAAACATTTTAAATCTGTTTCCTTCCTCCTCTCTTCTTCTTCACTTCTTTGGAGAGAGGAGAGAAAGGGGCGGGGTTTAAACTGACTGGCAGCTCCTTCGACCAATCAGAGAGAGGAACAGCTTGCCAGGTCTCCACGTCAGCCAATGGGAACGCTTTGGGAAAACCCTCCACCTGAAACACAGAAGATTATGAGTTTATTTAAATGAATAACTTATAATAAAACATAACAGCTGAGAGCGTCTCTCACGGGTACGAAGGCCAGGTTGTCACGGAGACAGACGTCCTGCAGCTCGCCACGCAGCGCGGTCACATGACTGATGTGGGCGGAGACTTCCTGTTCCAGCCAGCCAATCCGTGAGCAGCAGGCGAGAAACAGTTGAGATGCGGAAGAGAGGAGAGTCTACAGGAAGAGAGAGAGAGGAATCAATAAAGAGAGTCAAACAATACGAGAAATAAAGTCTTCTTCATTTACAAAATAATAAAACAATAATAACAAAAACATACACATACACAAAACACATACAAATGTCAAAATGTCATGTTCAACCTCACCTGACACGCTGCCACCTCCGGAGCTCCCATGATGCACTCTGCTCCACTCAGGTGCTCCTTGAGTGACGGCAGGGGGCGGGGCTTAGCTGACAGGCAGCCACGTGATTGGACGAGACTCTCCCTGACCTGAGGACAGCAGACGTTACACTCCAAGCTCGAGCAGATTTCAGATGTGATTGAATTGCAATAATCAGATATAGAAAGGAGGTTATATGTGTGTGTGTGTGTGTGTGTGTGTGTGTGTGTGTGTGTGTTCACCTGCATGTAACTCATCTCCGCCGCCCTCATGTTGCTGATCAGACAATCTCTACGTCTAGGAAAGAAGAAAAAGTAAAATAAAGGGTGAACTACTGCAGTTAAAATGACACAATAAGTGTTATTAAGGTGTGACAGTGTGTGTGTGTGTGTGTGTGTGTGTGTGTGTGTGTGTGTGTGTGTGTGTGTGTGTGTGTGTGTGTGTGTTACCTGTGTGTGTCGATCAGCTCTTCCTCCAGGTGCTTCCTCTCCCTCTGAACCCCCGACAGGTGTTTACCCAGAATCCTCAGCGAGCGCTCCTTCCTGGTCACCTCCTGCCGAGCGTCACACAGAGACTGGAGAGGCATTTATATTTTTAAATTACATTTAAAACATTTTGATTTATTTGGAAAAAGTCGGGGGAAATTTCAGACAAAAACGTTTTTAATATTAAGAAAAATATCTAAACATTTCAATATTAAGAAAATCTGAATATTGTCTCAAGATAAAACCTGGAATATTTTAAAAAGTCTAAATGTCTGGAATATATTTAGAAAGAAAACATGATTTCTTAATAAATTGAGGGTAGTTTTTTAATTAAAGTCAGGATTTAAAAACACCAAAACGTCTCTCTGCCTAATCAACAGGTAAACAATTAAATAATGAATTGAACGTACCTGAGTGGTTTGGCCGAGTGTGTGTTGTGCGTCAGTTTGTTCCTTTAGGAGCGTCTGGACTTCCTGCTCTCTGCCCAGCGCCTGACGAAGCTCCACACACACACTGTGGAACTGCTGCTCCGGGACCTACACACACACACACACACACACACACACACACACACACACACACACACACACACACACACACACACACACACACACACACACACACACACACACACACACACACACACACACACACACACACACACACACACACACACACACACACACACACACACACACACACACACAAAGAGTCAGGTGTGTTCATCACAGACAGTACAGGTGTGTGTGTGTCTGTCTGTCTGTCTGTCTGTCTGTGTGTGTGTGTGCCTGTGTGTGTGCTCACCGTCTTGCAGCTCTCCTCTCTCTCCTGCCGCAGTCCTCTCTTCAGATTGACTACCTCCAGCCTTAAGCTCCGCCTCTCCACCTCAGCCGAGTGCAGCCGTTGGCTAAAAACCAGGAAGTGCTGCTGCAGGGTCGACACCAGCGCCTGGGAATGATCAATACATTATGTGTAATTAATGTTGTGTGTTGTTGTATAATATAAAATAACATTTATTCTTTATTTTTTATTTTATCTGTGACATCCCTGAATATTCGTTATTTTTTTGAAAAGATATTATAGTTTATTTGTTCTATTCTACAGTCTGTTATTATAAATATATCATCTTAATATATTCTATTATAATGTTTATACCTTGCTGTCGGGCTGTGGAGGCGTCACTCTGTTGAGCCCGCCCCTCAAACGGCCGCTCAGCGAGTCCTCGTCCAATCCGGAGCCAGGCAGACCGGACTCTGCGTCTGATTGGTCGAGAAGGTGATCCAGGAGGCGGGACAAAGCGGAACGAGCCAATGGCGTCACATCTGGAGGGGAGGAGCCTGGAGAGACAGATATTTGTAATGTTTTATTTCTTTCTTTTTTGTATAAGTTTATCTACAATTTGCTGATCAACCTTATTCACTTTTAACGACCCAAATAAGAGATAATTAATTGGTAGTCATTTTCTCATTTATTTTGAATAATGTTGTTTTCAAAAACTATCTTGCTGCCAAATAAATCAGAATAAGAATAAACACATTATCTGAATAAATGTATGTGTGTGTGTGTTACCAGTGTGTGTGTGTGTGTGTGTTACCAGTGTGTGTTAGCGCCCCCTGCAGGTCGGCCATGGAGGACAGGATGACGGAGGAGAGACGTTTGGAGCGCAGCCAGCGAGCACACACACCTCCATCAGCATCTTCATAAAACATCAAGTCAATATTTGTAATTCTTGACATTACTTTTTTTTTTTAAATCATTTAGTGGGAATGCTGATACAGCATTCCCACTAAATGTTATGCTATGGACAAAATTCTTATTATTATTCCGCCCATTATTTTGCCGGTCTTCTCCTCCCACATTCCACATCGCAGAAACTCCGTTCAAACATCAAAACGTTCAGCTCGGTTGGGAATCGACTGCTATTACTTTTATCATTCATAACTTTCATAATTCCAGAGATACAGCCCATAATACATCACATTTTTAACATTGAAGTCAATGGAGATATTCTTCAGACTTCAACAAATCTTCATGCGACTTCAACTGCTAACTGTTCATTCATACTTTCACTCAGAAACCTCATTCCAACTTTAAAATGTTACACATCTTTCTGACATTATTCATGTAACACAACTTTTAAATCTGACTACTTTTAGAGATATTAAACATTGTTCAGACCTTGTTAAAGAGGTTTTCTTCAGATTTTAACATTAACTAGAGTGCGTGATGTCACAGCTAGAGGGTGAGAAATCTTGAAATTTGCCTTCATATTTTTTTTTTAAACTGCCATAATTCCCAAACCCTACATTCCTGAGACATAATCTTTCATGACAAACGTAGGAAAACATCTCGTCGCTTGAAAAATGACAAATAATTAAGCAAAAATAATTAAACAAAATGCCTCGAGGGCATGAAGTGACAAAAACGTTCAACATGTCTCCATTAAAGCCCATTGTAATTTCAGGTAGATATTTCCTCACAGCAGCAGCCGCACACCTTTAGTTAAACTGCAAAAAAGGCCACATTATTAACCCGAAAGTACACAAAAATTACACTTCAGATACTCAACTTCCTTGACATGTTTCACGTTTTGAAATTTCACAGATATCTGTTATCGTTCTTCCACAAAACGTTCACATGTAACAGGTTTATCTCTCATTCAGAACAATGGAAACCTTTGATCTCTGCACACCTCGTTAGCTCAAATATAAACACCTGTGTCATGGAACACGATGATGTCATAACACACAGGTGTTCGTGTTTGAGCTAACGACGTGGTCACTGGAGTTTAACAGACTGTCTGAGCCTATTCTTTTCTGTCTGATGGAGACTTCATACTGACTTCAACATGTTCCACCTATTTGATACATTATTGGTGACACACAGCTGTCGTCGTTAGCTCAAATATAAACACCTGTATCATGGAACACGATGATGTCACATTGACAGGTTTGGTAACGATGCAGCCATCAACGCATCTAAGCGTATTATGGGGTGTCATCAAATGCCGTTGCCATGGCGACAGACCACTCGCCATGAAGCAGGATGTCGCTGTAAGTCCAATGGACACGGTCCGATCGTCCCCCAAACTTCGCTTGTATATCACCGGTCCAGCCCTCAACAGCTCTATGTCAATTATGGGATGTCATCAAATGCCGTTGGCATGGCGACAGATCATTCACCATCAAGTTAGTTCAAAGGTTTGCAGTTCAAATATTCTGCTGCTTTTCCAAGCCTTTTTACTTTCTTTTCTTCTCTCATCACACATTCAAGACCCCAGTGTTCATGTATCATTTCAATCTAAATTCTTCACTTTCTTCTTACACATTACATTTCAGCATAAAGCATTCCCACTAGCAATTTCTTCAGGAATTGCATTCTCTAGTTTATTATTGTTATGCACCAATTAAATTATATTTGTAAATATTTTATTGCTTTTTTCAAAATTTCGAGGGAAAAAAATCAAATATTTAGAAAAATATCTGAAGATTTCAAGACATGTTTTAAATGTCTTGGCCCTCACCTGTGGGGGGGGTGATTTGACCCTCCTGTGTTTCCGTAGCGCTGCAGCCTCCTCCCTTCTGCAGCCTGAACACCACAGCTGTGTGTTTACTGATCAAACACCACCTCCTCACCGCCATCACCACACACACACTCTTCCTCCACCTCCTCACCGCCATCTTCCTCTTCCTCTTCCTCCCTTCTTCCTCCTCCTCCTCCTCCTTTCCCAGAGCTCCCAGCAGCCTCCTCACCTCGCCCTCCAGCCCCTCCCTCTCCTGCAGCCGTCTGCACACCACCCTCTTCTGCACACACACCTGCTGCAGGCGGAGGTGTGTGTGTGTGAGCGCGCCCCCCAGCAGGACGCACGCCCACAGGAAGCAGGACGCCTCCCCCCGCAGGAGAGAGAGGTCGGAGGTCAGGGAGGAGGAGAGGAGCTCCAGGGAGGAGGCGTGGTGACGGAGGGAGGAGAGCTGAGAGCGACACACCTGAGACACAGAGGGGGGGGGGGGGGGCGTTTAGAGTCAGGGGGATTCTTTAGAGTCATGGTGGTTTACAAATGAACTATTTATTTGAGTCATAAATCAGGACCAGATTTCACTTTGAATTGATTTTCAGATTTGTGGCTGAGAGGTAAATCTCTCCTCACAGAGAGAGGACCACAGGGACCATCTCTACTTTCAAATCTGCTGAGTCGGCACTCACCTGAGGGCTGTGTGTGTGTGTGTGTGTGTGTGTGTGTGTGTGTGTGTGTGTGTGTGTGTGTGTGTGTGTGTGTGTGTTACCTGCAGTTCCTCCTGCAGCTGTGTGACGGTGTGTGTGTGTCGGCTGCTCCTCTCCTCCTCCCTCCTCCTCACACTCTCCTTCAGACGAGACAACACACACTGCTGCTCGTGCACACACACACTCCGCTGCTCACACACACTCTGCAGGTGGGCGATCTACGGGAGGAGAGAGAGAGAGAGAGAGAGAGAGAGAGAGAGAGAGAGAGAGAGAGAGGGGAGTTTAGTTTAAAACTAGAAAGAATGTTTTTTTAATATTAATATTTTCGTTTAATATTGTTTTTATTTTATTTATTATTCATATTTTTTAAATATATTTTTATATTTAATTATTTATTTATATTTATTTATTATATAAAATTATTCATATTTTTAACCTACATTTTAATAATAAAAAGACAATATACACACACACATTAACATTTCAGTGTCTCTCACCTTGTCGTTGGCCTCCCGCAGGTCAGAGGTCACTTGACCCACCTGCTCGTTGATGACATCACACAGCTCCTGCCAGGTGAAATTACCCAGCATGCTTTGGGGCTGACGGAGCAGAACGCAGCCGGCGAGAAGACGCTGATACACACAATACAGGAAGGAGAGACGCTCCTGAAACACACACACACACACACACACACACACACACACACACACACACACACACACACACACACACACACACACACACACACACACACACACACACACACACACACACACACACACACACACACACACACAGTTGTCTAGTTGAATTATAAACAGTGTAATTAAATGTTGCCGATGTAATGAAGTCCTGCTCGGTCTCACACAGAGAGGACAGAACTGAATCAGACACATCGCGCACTGATCAGTCTCAACAAGGAACATTATTTCAGTTTTCTTTTGTTACATTACTGGAGAAAAGAAAATGGAGAAAAAAAAAAAAATAATCACCTTTGACTCTTTCTCGTAGTATTCGCTGATCTTCTGGATTTCTGACGTTATCTCACCCTTTCTTCTCATCACCTCCTCTCTTACTCATCTCTATCTCCCTTTCCTCTCTCGCGCGATAATAGACGCCATGTACGCGATGCACTCGCGCGCGACAATTGAGACAAGAGAGCGAGCTGAATACTTATCTACGTCGATCTCTCATTCTTCCCTCTCTCTCTCCATCTCTCTCTCACTCTCTTCCCTCTCTCTCTCCCTCTCTCTCTCCCTTTCCTCTCTCTCTCTCTCCATCTCCTCCCTCTCTCTCTCCTTTTCTTTCCTCTCTCTCTCCCTCTCTCTCTCCCTCTCTCTCTCCATCTCCTCCCTCTGCGTCGACCAATCAGAGCTCTCCTTCTGAAGGCGTGTCACCTCCTCTGTTAGTTTGATTGACACCTGCTGTAACTCCTGCAGAGGAAAAAAGCACAAAACAGTTACATTTTAATCTAAAAACTAAAGTGTTATTCTGAAGGTGCCCACCAGGGGGAGCTACTGTGCCTCCAAGCTGCTTTGGGATCAGAGCTAAAATAAATACTTCCTCTATTGCCAACTGGATTTGTATTAGTTTCTCCATTGTACAATTAAATACATTAAGAAAAAAAATGTACAAATTGTTCTTCAATATATTATTATTATATATATTCTTTAATATTCTTTAATATTTTTTGGAGGATGTTTTGACGACTGTAATAGATGCAGGTGTGTGTGTGTACCTGCAGCTGTCGGCTCTGATCTGAGGTCAGCTGCTGCAGATCCTGGATCTGTCGCTCCTTCGTCTCCAGAGTCTTCCTCAGCAGCTGCAACACGTCAGCACAGGGACTACAACTCCCATCATGCTTTGCTGCGGGATCAGTGTGTTGCTGGAGAGTTTCCATGATGAGCTTCACACACTCCTCTGCGTCACTCTGACGTTTAGCCGCCTGGACAGAGGAGAGGGAAATCAAACCACAACAACAATATCAACATTCATCCATACAAAGATGTGTGTGTGTGTGTGTGTGTGTGTGTGTGTGTGTGTGTGTGTGTGTGTGTGTGTGTGTGTGTGTGTGTGTGTGTGTTACCTGCTCCAGCAGAGTGTGTGTGTGTGTGTGTGTGTGTGTTACCTGCTCTAGCAGAGTGTGTGTGTGTGTGTGTGTGTTACCTGCTCCAGCAGAGTGTGTGTGTGTGTGTGTCGTCTCTTCTCCTCCTCCAGCGTTTGTCTGAGGTCAGAGGTCGTCGTCCTCTCTGTCTCCAAGGCAACGCTGAGGTCAGCCTTACACTGCTCGTACTCCTGCTGCAGCCTAAACACACACACACACACACACACACGCATGCAAACACACACACACACACGCATGCAAACACACACACACACACATGTTATAGAAAAACAATAGATATATTTTTTCATAACTATAACAAACACGCCAAAAACGGCTCCATTGGACTCCTTTGTTTACTTCCTGAACATAATGACATCACTACGGAACACTCGCTCCTATTGGCTAGCACTCCAACACATTGTACGTGATAGGCTAAGGGGCGGGACATCTCTAAGCTGGTTGACCAATCAGAGCAGTCTAGGCTTTATTATTCACCAAATAACTAGACAAGTTAAACCTGTTTCTGTTTCTCACTTTTACTAAAAATACTTTTGCATGAATTGATGATAAAGTACCTGTGCAGCGCTGCCTCCCTCTCTCGCCCCCTCTCGCTCTGCACACTCCTCTCTCTCTCCTCCTCTCTCATCTGACTCTTCAGCAGCTCTCTCTCTCTCTGAGATTCCTGCAAGATGATTCGCTCAGAGCTCAGCGTCGCCTCCAGGTCCCGCCCCCTCAGCTGTCCGTCACATGACCAGGGAAAGAGAAAGACATTACATATCAATTCATTTCATTATTCGATCCAGAGTGTTCAGTTTTTGCTTTTCTCAAATTAGACTTGACACAGAGTTCAAACAGGCTCAGGTGAGAAGGATGATCGTTACCTGGATGATCTCAGAGTTGAACTTTGACCCCAGGTGAGCGGCTCGCTCCGCCTCCATGTTCGACTCCAGAGTCTTTACTCTCTGATCCAACACCTGAGGAGAGAGGAGACATTAATACAACTCCTCTCCCTCCCTCCTCCTCCTCACCTCTGCCTTCCTCCCTCCTCCTCTTCCTCACCTCCTTCTCCCTCCTGCTCCTCTCCTCCTTCTCCTCCAGGTATTTCAGTTTGTTGTGTTCTCGTCTCCTCTCCTCCTCCTCTTTCTCTCTTTCTCTCTGCGCCTCCTCCAGAGCCTCCTCCTGATCCTGGACCAACAAAGAAACACTTATTAATGCTCAATAAAAAGGCTTTTACCTGCTTTCTGATTGACATATATTTAGTTTGTGTGTGTGTGTGTGTGTGTGTGTGTGTGTGTGTGTGTGTGTGTGTGTGTGTGTGTACCTGCAGCAGTTGGTGTAGTCGTTGGTTCTCCGAGCTCAAGGTGTGGATCAGTTTGTCTCGCTCCTCCACTTCCTGCTGCAATGCATGCTGGTCCTCCTCCCTGCAGCGCCGCGTGATGTCGAGAGATTTCTGCAACTCTGCCACCGTCACCTGGAGCTCTGACACACACACACACACACACACACACACACACACACACACACCCACACCCACACACACACACACACACACACACACACACACACACACACACACACACACACACACACACACACACACACAATCACACACACACACACACACACACACACACACACACACACACACACACACACACACACACACACACACACACACACACACACACACACACACACATTTGAGCACAAAGCAATCAGAAAAACGAAGTAATTTGCAGTTATTTTTGGGACACATTTTAAATAAAACAAGCTATTTTGTATCTTTTTAACACGTATATTGCAGTTTTTTGGAGTGCATAAAGTTTAGTGTGTGTTTGTGTGAGTGTGTGTCTGTGTGTGTTGTTTTGATTAGTGTACCTGTGAGTGTGTGTTTGTCCCGGGTTGATTCCCTCTGGCTCACAGTGATCTGGTACTGCAGCTCTTCTCTCTGAGCCTCCCCCCCCTCCACAGAGCACCTGAGACGGGTCAGCTCCGCCTGCAGCCCACACACCTGAGGGGAGGAAAGGAAACCAAACATGTTACTAGAATATGTTTAAAATGGGGGGGAAATATCAGAAAAATGTGGGGAAATGTTCCAAAGATATATACAAAAGATGTCTGAAATGTGTGTTGAAATAATCTGGAAAATCTCCGAAAAAGTATTATTACATTTGTGAAAAAATATCAAATAAAAATAAAAAAACAATCTGATAAATGTGTGAAAACGATTTAAAAAAAAAGTCCAAAACATATTATTTCAAATTTGAGTAATATATGAGAAAGATATCCAAAAAAACAATAGATAGGGTGTCCAAAATTACATTGGAAAATAATCAGAATTTTTTTTAAACATGTGGGAAATATATCAGAAAACTACGGGGAAATGTGAACAAAAAAATACAAAAGATGTCTGATGTGTATTGAAAATGTCCAAAAAAGACTTATAACATTTCTGAAAATACAGTGAAAAATATCAAATAAAAATACAAAAACAATCTGATATATGTGGGAAAATAATTATTCAAAATGTCCAAAACGTATTATTTAAAATATGAGAAAAATATCCCAACAAATATATATAGTCTGTCCAAAATACATTGGAAAATAATCTGAAAAATGTTTGGGAAAATGTTCCAAAACTATATACAAAAGATGTCTGCAATGTGTGTATAAAATGTCCAAACGTATTATTTAAAATAAGAGTAAAATATGAGAAAAATATCAAACAGTTGGCAAAAATCGTAAAAAGAGTATTTGTAAAATATATAAAAATGTGCCCTAAAATAAATATAGGGTGTCCAAAATACATTGACTTCTAAATGTCTAAATATCCAATAATTATAAGTACAAAATATGAGATAGAAATCTGAAAAGTGTAATAAAAACATCCGCTAATATCCTAAATAATACGTAATCTGTGTGAAAACCTGCCATCAAATATAGAAAATCTAAAATACGTGTAAAATAAATCTGTACTTTTCCAGTTTCTCACCTCCTGGTTGTGTCGGCTGGTCAGCTCCAGGTTCTCCTTCTCCAGCTGATGGACTCTCCTCCTCCTCTTCTCCTCCCGATCTCCTCCTTCTTCTCCTTCTGACGCCGTCTTCCTGCTCCTCACCTCCTTCCGCTTCCTCCTCCCTTCCTCACCTTCCTCACCTTCCTTCCCCTCTCTCCTTCCTCTCTCTCCTGCCTTCTTCTCTTTCTGTTGCATCGTGGGGATAATCTCTTTCGCACTGCAAAATAAAATGTGAACAGATTAATCTTATTATGTGATTTTTTTTGTATGAATAGTTTATTTTCTCCAGATGATTTTGTGATCAAATGAAGGATTAAATATGTCCCACTCCAAAAGCTGAATCAAATATTTATCCAAAATATATTATTAGTGATAAACAGCTCTGAACAAATTAATCTATATATACACCTCTACATGTATGGCAGCCTTTATATTCCAGTGTCTTTTGAATTATAATACAATCCATTTTGTTCCAGAGTTGTATGTGCAATGTTAATCTGAAAATATGTCAGAAATATGTGGGAACAAAAGTTTTTCAAAAGAATTCTTACAATATTTAGATAGGAATGTCAGAAAAGTCTGTGAAAAAATACTGAGAATTGTTAGAAAAATATCAGAAAAAACTGTAAAGAAAATCTTCCAAAAAATATCTAAAGATGTCATCAAAGAAACATCTTAAAAATGTGAAAATAAAATAGAAAAATAAATGGGAATACTATTTCAAACTATTGTATCAAACACAGTAATGTGAAAAATACATTAGTGAAATATGTGGGAACAATATCCGAAGATCTTGTTTAAAAATATCCCCTAAAAGATCTTAAAGATGTCTGAAATATTTGTAAAAAAGTCCATAAAGTAACTGTGTACATTGCTCTCTCCTCGGAGCTGACCCCGGTTATAATATGTAAAACAAATTGAAAATGCGTGCAAAAATTACGACAAATATGGGCAAAATATCACAACAATATATAAGTAAAAATATCAGAAAATACATAAGTACAAATATGCCAGAAAAATATGTTCTTTTAAAACAATCCTTAAAGAAATGTGTCTGAAATGTGTGTGGAAAACACAGTGGGAAAAAAAACTGGAAAATGTCAAAGACAAAGGGAATAATGATAATAATAATAACACAGTGGTGTACAAAATATATTATTAGTGACATATGTGGGGGGGGGGAATATCCGACAATCTTGTTTAAAAATGAAAAATATGTGTAAAAAAGTCCATAATGTAGCTGTATGTACCTCTCTCTCTCCACGGTTCTCTCCCCCCGCGGCTCCGCTCGGCTCTGCCCGCTCTCCGCACCCTTTCTCCGGCCACTCTCTCTCCTCCGCTCCGCTGCTTCTACCTGCATCTCCCCGCAGTCAGGGTGACTTTAAAACCCCTGAGGATGTTTGTTTAAATGCACATTAATGCGACATATTTATTTTGGCTAGTATTAAATCCTCTTTAGGCACCATGGAGGTTGTTTTGATTGTTTTGCTACCGGGGGATGAAGCCAGTTGCCTGGCTGCTTGCGTTGCCATGCCAGCAGATGCACTCAACCACAAAGCGAACTCCGTTTACAAATCGATCAATTAAACACAATAATAATATAAAGTAAATTATAAATACATCTACAACAATATAAAACAAGATGTACCTATAATTATGGTATACTTTACAATTCGGCGCTATTTAAAATACTAAATATGTCTGTTTTCTGCATAATTTCAACGTTTATAGTAACATAATTCTTACTGTTTACAATTTACAACTGAGATGAAACTCATATAAACTAATGTTAGGTGAATCAAATGTACGCCGAATTTAAAAGAAGGTCATGAATAATGGATTTATGTTGTTTATTTAAGTAATTTATCTTCATAATTGTCAATAAAGAAGTTATGATCAAGATTACACATTTTGTGAATGGGATTTTGTCTCCACTTGATAAACAACACAAACAAATACGGTTAAAGTCAATATAAACAACAATGTAAACAAATTCAAAAGACGGTTAACGTATTATTAAGGTCGACTTTACAATTCGGCATCCTTTAAAATACTAAATATGTCTGTTTTCTATAGAATTTCAACGTATATAGTAAAAGGTTATCGAAGAGATTACTACTGTTTACAATTTACATCTGAAGACAAAACTCATATTACCTGCTGGTAGGTGAATCAAATATACGCCGAATTCAAAAGAAGGTCATAACGAATGTATTTATGTTATTTATTTATATTAGTTATCTTCATATTTTTCAATAAACAAGTCAATATGAAAATCACACATTTTGTGAATGGGATTTTGTCGCCACTTGATAAACAACCCAAACAAATACGGTTTATCTCCAATAAAAACATCTTTCAATGCTCTTAATCTACTTTAACCAACACAAGGCAATGTAAACTACTTACATACACTACAATATTAATAATTAACGTTATAGAAAGCTTTTATTAAAAACTTACAGCAAATATTATCCAGGAGCCGTTTGAATCTGACGCCATCTTGAGCGTCCCAACGTCATCTCAGTGTCGACTCCTGATTGGCTGATAACTAGTGATGTTACCTACGTCATCGATGACAAACGAAGCCTCGCTGACCATAAATAAATAAATGAATAAACACATAATTAAATAAATTGACGAATAAATACATGTGGAAATAAATACATGAATACATAAATAAAATAATAAATAAATGCATAAATAAATATGGAAACAAATAAATGAATGTATGAATAAATACATACAAGTTGAGAATAAAACAGAACACACATTATTATTATTATTATTATTATTATTATCAAATGTGTTTTATTTTCCATTTCATTTTTCTAAAATAATAGCACGTTTCCATTCATTAGAGGGCAGTGTGGTGCATTTCCTCTGTTAACTCTCCACGTGTTTCCACCGTAGAAGAAACGAAAAAAACAACATGGCAGCGCCCGCTGAACACGTTGAAACCTCAGATCCTCCAGAAATGGATCCAGAACCAGAAGCTCCAGAGACCTCAGAGCCAGAAACCTCAGACAGGGAACAGAAAGAGGAGGAAGAGGAAAAAGAGAAAGAGGAGGACGATGATGAAGATGATGAAGAGGGGCCTCAGGAGCCCATCATTAGGGACACTCCAGCTGACATCAAGCTGGAGGCCATCGCCAACACGGTGGCTCTGCACCCGACCCGAGACCTGCTGGTGTGCGGGGACGTGGACGGAGATCTGTACGCATATGCATACTCCTGTACTGAGGGAGAGACCCGGGAACTGTGGTCCTCTGGACACCACCTGAAGTCCTGCAGACAGGTGAGGGTCTGCTGTTATTAAAGATACTAAAGAACACCTGAAGTCCTGCAGACAGGTGAGGGTCTGTTGTTATTAAAGATACTAAAGAACACCTGAAGTCCTGCAGACAGGTGAGGGTCTGTTGTTATTAAAGATACTAAAGAACACTTGAAGTCCTGCAGACAGGTGAGGGTCTGTTGTTATTAAAGATACTAAAGAACACCTGAAGTCCTGCAGACAGGTGAGGGTCTGCTGTTCAACATATACATATGTCAATAAATTAACGCAAGTGAAACCGCCTGCTGACCAATCAGAGCTCCGTGTGCAGAGTTTAAAGCTATCAAGTCATATTACAGGATAGAGGAAATATAGAAAAACTGCCGTTGCAGGAAAGACGGCCGGCAAAAATCACAGACTGTGTGAACGTGAAAATTAATAGAATATCCCCTCCCATCTCCAGAGCAATCTGACTATTATAACATTAGCGTTAAGAAAGCTTACTTAAATATCTGCCACAACATAAGTAACCAGATCAGAGTAACATTAAGTACAGTCCACGGCACTGTGAGTGCAGACGTCGATGTGTCCCATTATCATTCATATCATATCACATCATAATGTATCATATATTTCCTTATCTGAGTCAGCTGAGCCGTATCTGGCCGTGCAACACTCACAGTGTCACATACTGTATGCAGAAGTATTATTTTAAGCAACACATTAAGTTGACGAAACACTCGAGTCAAATGTAATTAAAGTCAGATCCACTCGTGTCTTGGACGGGGCAGTGATTTCATAAACCTGTTAATGTACGCATTCAAACACTTTTTCTTTTACCAGCTGTATTCACCTTGCAGGTGCAGCTATGTGGCTTTTATCCTGGGTAAAGTGTTTAAGTCATGGATGTTTAAAGTTTAACTTCTTCATATTTGACTAATATTAAAGTTCACTTTTCATTCAGGAAGTATGACGCTGCGCTGTCAGTACGCTTGTCCATGTTTGAGATTGGTCGAATGCTCCAGATACCACCCCTTTCATGTGAACGTGCACCTAACTAGATGGGACACGGCTGGCTTGAGCGATCCACTTGATAACCCGCGTCGTAGTACAGTTTAGCGAGAGCGCGTATGTTTTGGATTGGGCCAACCGGCTAACTCAAACATATCCAGGTTAGGTTGAACCGGCTTCGTCGTACAGGCCTCTGAGGTTCTGTTGTTGTTTACTAAAGAACACCTGAAGTCCTGCAGACAGGTGAGGTTGTGTGTAAAACTCTAAAATAAACCTCCTTACCTGTATCTCAAAAAGAACAGGAATATTCAATATCAGGTTTAAATCTCTGCAGTGTTTTTGATGTATAAGACTTTAAAATAAGCCTCCTTACCTGTCTCTCTCTGCAGGTGCGTTTCTCTGCTGACGGACTGCAGCTCTACAGCGTCTCCAGAGATAAAGCGGTCCACCTGCTGGACGTGGAGCGAGGGCAGCTGGTGACTCGGATCAGAGGAGCTCACGGAGCCCCGATCAACAGCCTGCTGCTGGTGGACGAGAACATCCTGGCTACTGGGGACGATGGGGGGACTCTGAAGGTCTGTACAGGAGGGGATATATACTGTTTATTTTATATTATTACTTTATTTATGATGATAAAGTATCACCATGATGAGGAATTCACGTGTACAAAACGACATCGCTTCCAAATATGAGGAAAAGCATAAATCTGACTTGAATTTGTCCCGTTGTTCTTCCTGAAGGTGTGGGATATGAGGAAGGGGACGGCCATCATGGATCTGAAACAGCACGAGGATTACATCAGTGACATCGCAGTGGACGCGGCCAAGAGGATCCTCCTCACTACCAGGTTCTTAACATTTCATAATCATTTTGTATTATTTAAATATTTAATATTTAATTTTCTTTTTACATTTTTCACAAACATTTCGGACAATATTTAATTTTTTTTACAAATCGGTCTGAAATATTCTGACAATTGTTTTTAGTTGCTGCCATTGGTAAAAAAGCAGTTGGTTAAAAAACAGGATATTTTTGGACATTGAGAATACTGATTCATTTTTCCAATTTCAGATTGTTTTCTTTAACTTTTAGGATTTGTTTTCACAATTTTCTGACATTTTCTTACATTTTTATTTAATAGATATTCAAAACATTTGTATACATATTTGTTAATTTTTCAGGTACATTTTTTCTTACAACTTTTCGTACATTTTTCTACAGTTTTTTTTTGTACATTTCGACAAATTACATTTTCAGACATTTTTCTACCATAAATGCTTCAAAACGTCCTTAAAACACCACCAACGGCCCTCTGTAACCCCTCTAATTGTACCTTCTTTGCCCCTCACAGTGGCGACGGCACGATGGGCGTCTTCAACATCAAGCGGCGGCGTTTCGAGCTTCTGTCGGAGTATCAGACCGGAGATCTGACCTCGGTGGCGTTGATGAAGCGGGGGAAGAAGGTGATCTGCGGCTCCAGCGAAGGAACCATCTACATCTTCAACTGGAACGGATTCGGAGCAACGAGCGACCGATTCACCATCAAAGCTGAGTCCGTGGAGTGCATCGCGCCGATCACCGACAACATCATGTGCACCGCCTCCATGGACGGGTACATTCGGTGAGTCAGGGTTACATTGGGATTACTGGTGGTTTTTAGTCCCAGATTACAGTTACATTGATGACTTTGGGATCGTAAACTGGTTTCTAGATGCTCTTATCTGGACCCAAATGGGCTTTAAATGGTCCAATATGATGTTATTGTGGCCTAAATTGGTTTCTTATTGGTAACATGATCCAACAACCATTTACTTCTGAGATAATCCATAATGTCTTTCAATTTTTCTCATTGGGATTACTGGTTGATTTTGGTCCTAGATTACTGTTACGTTGGTTTTTATTGGTCTTAGTTGAACCGAGCTGGTCTTTCAGTAGTCCAATTGGTGTTTTTGTGATCTTATAATGACCTAAAATGTTCTTTTGATGGACCAAGCTAGTCCTTTAACTAACAACGCTGCTTTAATCTAATGTTTTGATGACCTAAAATTGTCAAAATTGGCTTCTTATGGTAAAATCTGTTTTTTTAATGGTCCAACCAGGTGTTGTAATGGTCAGACATGATCTTGGTTCCATACACTGGTTTCTTAACGCTCTAAAATGATAAAAAAAAATCTGCATCGCATTGGGATTACTGGTTCCTAGCGGTCTATTCGTTTCTTAGCGGTCTACAAATGATAAAAAATCAGCTTTTAATTGTCTGAGCTGATGTCACGATGGCGCATTTTCAAGTAGTCCAAACTATTTTTTTCTAATGGTACAACTTAATGACTGGGATCATAAACTGGTTCCTCGATGCTCTAACCTGGACCAAAATGGGCTTTTAACTGGTCAAAACTATTTTGTTAATGGTCTAATATGATGTCTTTGTGTCCTGAATTGGTTTCTTATTGGTAACATGGTCCAACAACCCTTTAGTTCTGAGATAATCCATCATTTCTTTATATATAAATGTCTCTCCTTCCTCCATCAGAGCCGTGAACCTCTTTCCCAACCGGGTCATCGGGTGCATCGGGCAACATGTCGGAGAACCCGTCGAGGAAATCAACAAATCCTGGGACTCCCGTTTCCTGGTGAGCAGCGCCCACGATCAGCTGATCAAGTTCTGGGACATTTCGGATTTAAAAAACACCAAGGTCACCGAGTACCGCAAGAGGAAGAAGAAAGACGGACGCATGAAGTCGCTCACAAAGAAAGCTCACGGAGATAACGACTTCTTCGCCGGACTCATGGAGGAACCTGAGAAGAAGGAGGAAGAGGAGGAAGGAGAGGAGGAAGAAGAGGAAGACAGCGATAGTGGAAGTGATTAAAAAAACTGGACAAACTGATGAATGAACTGATATAAGAACACATGATCACACACTAAAATATGAAGTGTTGGACTGTTAAAAGCTTTTATAAATTCCCTGTCAGACTTTATTTACATCTCTGATCAGATCGTTCCTGATTTACACCAACGTCTCTTTGTGAATTTACAAAACTTACATATTTTTTGATAATAAAATACTTTTTTCTTTGCTTTTTTTTGGTATCAGTATCAAAAAGCAGCTATTGTATTAAAAAAACACAATAATAACCAGCTCTATGTTCATAGGCATTTTAAGCCTGTCTGCTCGGTTTGAGAAAAATGTTTTTGTAATAAAATTGTAAATAATTACAGCTTTGTATATTTATTTAATACATCGTAGTTCTTAAAATGAGACTACCTCGCATGTGTTTGTCAATTCTGCCCATGTTATACTCTATAAAGAAACACACCTGTAA